ACCATAGAACCACACCTGGACCATAGAAACTACACCTGGACCATAGACGATCTAGGTAGACGGCCACTCATCCCGTGCCTCGTTCTTCTGAACGTTACTTCCTGTAAAAAGGGAGCTGTTCATTTCCATTGTTGACAACATGCATGTGTTGAAATAAATATTTATTTGCCTATTTAGAAAAAATATATTTTGCTAAGTGGCATATTTTAATGTAAGCTATGTGAATGTATTTGGATTTACGACTTGTACTTGCTTTTTCTTTTGTTAAGTACTTTGAGATTACTTTTGTTGCGAAATAGTGCTAACACATATGAATAAAGCTAATTTAATAAATATTGATATAATGGAATTTTGATGGGAACCAAATACTTACAGTGTCACAGTGTTTAAAGGATACTGAGTGTTGATGTGGTGGTAATTCTCTGTGTGGACAGGAAGGTCTTTGTGTGCTTCATTAGCAGCACCAGATCATTCATAGCATCTTCTGTCAGTAGCTTGAGGTAGCAGCCATACCTGGAAATTTCACAAAATACAATAAACTTAAATTTTCACCTGCATGCAACTCCCTCATGATTTTTCATATGATCTCTTAATATCTAGGTCACTATGCCACTTGTCCTGCTTTTATTTAGAATCACATCTCTTTTTATTTCCCCACAGTTATGTAAAGACTGAAATCACAAACTAAATTACTGTGAACATTTCATAAACAAATCTCAGAGCTCTTTTTTTTTTTTAAATTTCAGTTCCCATCATCCCTGACCTCTACTCAAACGAACGCCATGTTGCAAAGCAGAGACACCAGAGGATTCTTTAAAACCATAATAAACCGATCCAGTGGTCCAGATTTACATCAGCAAGTCTGACGTTTGATTAGATTCAACCGTTACAACGAGGCCTTCAGAGGAGTAAATTAAAAAAAATTTAAAATGCAACACAGTGACATCAGAATGAAACTAAAAGAGTTTATACATGTTTGGTATTTTCAGGAGTTCCACGAAGAATCCAGAGAGTAAAAATAATAACTCCTATAAAAATTATTTTATTATAAAAATTAAAACACCCCAACAAACCTGATACAGGAGTCAATTCCCAGCTGTTCCACAGTCGATAGTACAGCATTCTTCACGTTCTTCTCCTCCGCTGTAAAACACGACAAAAAGACACGAAGATTACACCAGATTCTCCCAGAGAGGGTGTGCGACAGAGAGATTTGGGTGAGAAGACTCCTAACGGGGTGCATTTTGACTATGAAGAATGGAAAAACATGACAGCAAATTATGAACTGCTCCTTCCACTGTACTACAGAGCTGACAGTGTGTCTGAGCAAGTTTGTACTTCGCAGCTCCGAGGCAGTCATTTGGCATTTAACCGTGATGTTTGCGAGGTAGTGCCGCATCAAGGTGACTCGGGTAATTTCACTAACAGTCATTCACGGGTAATTTCACAGCAGCGTTCAGAGGCTTTGGTACAGAGGAATCCTAACTTGGATTTCAGGGATGTGGCAGTTTTTGATAAAGTATAAAATCTATTCGCAAATCCTAACTTTTTTCTGTAGGAACACACTATCACAGGATCTGTTGTTAATAGTGAGATAGCAGCATAACAGCCTCATATCACATCTGCGTATCGTACTTTTTGCTGTATAAATCGCACCTTTTTGCAGAATTTTGCATGTCCTGCAACTTTTACGGCGAAGCGACTTATTTATGTTTTTTTTACCGATATTTATAATTCAATTTTTGGCTGAGAGATGACGATTTCATTCATTCTAACATGGAAAATATTGAACACTACCATTTTCAGCCGCTAGAGGTAGCTCGAGTAATATGGCATGCCAAGTGTCTCATTAATAGGTAAAAGTGGCTATTAATGAGACAGTTGGCTTGCCATACAACGCCACCATCGTCTCGCTCCTGAACTCCTGGAGCAAACGTCAAAACAGCTGTATTTCGCCGCACCACAGTCCTCCCGTGCACGCTTTCGCGGACACCATTTGGCAGCTAATCGATTTTTTGGCACAATATGGGCCCACATTTTCAGATAATCAGCGGTGACGCATAATATATGTGACTTATATGGTGAAGCGACTTATTTATATTTTTTTCACTTTATTAGAGATATTTGGACTAATGCAACTTATACGGCTGTGCGGCGTGTACGGTGGAAAGTACGGTAGTCTAATTTTCTCAGTGGGATTTTAGCTCCAACAATTGTAAAGAATCATTAAAATATATTGTTTTTTGAATTGTGAATAATTATGCAGAGGCTGAAAGAAATGAGACAATAACTGTGGAAAGAGTGACGTTTTTATTTGAAAGATGTTGCCTCCACATCCTGGCTTTGGGAAGCAGAAAATTACATCTGTGCAAATGAATCCCCTGCTTCAGATGGTTTATGGTTTGGATGATGAGGAAAATTTAACATTTAATATGAGCAGATCAATTGGGCGCTGGCAAATGGCAGGGAAAACTTCAAATCCAGTTTACAGAGTTATAGTGCCCAAGTGAAAAGATAAAATGTTTGCTGTGATTTACATATCAAAGTGATAATTCAACAGTGCTGCCTTCAAAAATCAAAGCTCGGGGGATTAATCCCAGGCCATCAAATCTTGTATTTATTGAGAGAAAATGGCTTTTGATGTACCAGGACAACGATTCTGCATTTCCTTTCCCCTTGCATCGCACATATTAACATCTCTAAAAACCTCATGCCGATGGCAATTACCATTTAATGGAGATAAATTCTTTCATTGTTTTTTGTTCCCTCCCTAATCTTTTCACTATCGTGCCCCCAGAGTCTATTTTAGAGTTTGTAATAACTATAATAACAAATATTAAACTTTGGTAAAAGGAGGCACCATTAAAAGCTGCTGCGTGCAATTATCTCCGATATTAGTCGTAACCACCTGTTTCAAAAGTAACTGCAAACATAATGAGTAATATCAGCAACCAGCAGCTTCGCATTGATTTAGTCCCCACACTTTGTCGTTCTTTAGACAAATGCAGTAACGGTGAAATTAATGAATCCTAACTTTGAGGGAAACAGCCGGAACCATGAGACGAATTAAGACCAAGATGAGCAGAGATTATCCATAACAATACTAACGTAGGCAGCCTCATAAATTATTATGATAATGAGCGTTGTATTTTTGTCCTCTTTCAACAAACTGCTTCGGTTCAAGAAGAAAGGGTTAAATCGTCAGCCATCTTTGGGCTACATCCACACAGCGCTCCCTCAACGAAAACAACTTTTTTCTTGTTTTTAGAAATATTTTCATCCACACATAAACAGAAAATGAGCTGCAATAACTATTCCAGGTCTGTAACGATGTAACACTGCCACAAAAACACAATAGAAGCAGGAAGGACGATGTGGAGCAAAAGAAAAGGATCATGATGGAGAACACAAGCTCCCGTGTGGACACAAGGCTGAAACTTTAAATGTTTGTGTATCCAGAAAGTGTTGTTTCCATATGGACACGGCCTTAATGATTTGACAGCAGCAACAGTTTCTGTAGAACTTCATATACGATCATTAGAAGCTGCAGTGGAAAGTATGATGAAACTGAATACAGAGGTGTGGTGGACAGAACCACCTGCAACTCAACGTTGGACAAACTAAAGAGCTGCAGGTGGACTACAGGAAGAAGATCAGCCCCCCAACACTATCAAAATCAAGGGTACAAAGGTGGACACTGTGGACTGCTACAAGTACCCGGGGGTCCACCTAGACAATAAACTGGACTGGACAGCTAACACCAGCGCCATCTACAAGAAAGGGCAGAGTCACTTTTTTCTTCTGAGGAGACTCAGGTTCTTTAACATCTGCAGGACCATGCTGCAGATGTTTTACCACTCGGTGGTCTCCAGAGTCTTCTTCTACACTGTGGTGTGCTGGGGCAGCAGGGTGAAGAAAGCTGATGCCAACAGACTCGATAAACTCATCAAGAGAGCTGGCTCGGTTCTGGGAGTGGACCTGCAGCCTCTGACAGAGGTGTCTGAGCAGAGGACGCTGAGGAACCTGCTCCAGATCCTGAACGACACGTCACACCCCCTGGACTCTGACCGCAGCACCTTCAGTCGTAGACCGAGACCACCGAGGTGCTCCACAGAACAACACAGGAAGTCCTTCCTCCCTGTGGCTGTCAAACTTTTCAACTCCTCCCCCTTTAATCCTGTACTACAATAAACATTTTAATGTTTCTGTCTGCACCTGACCTGCTTTAGACCTTAATTGTTGGTATTTTTATATTCTCTGTTATTTTTATATCTTGTGTGATTCCTTGCGTTTGCTCCTTTGTACTGAAACTCTGGCACAATAATTTTCTGCGAGATCAATAAAGTTCTTATCTTACATTATGGTACTCGATAGGGCCTGCCTAAAGGTTCATTGTGTGTTTTGTGCATATAAAAAAATTTGAAGTACCGTAATGATGTTAGAATTAGAATTAAACGTCAACATTTCTGTATGTGAGGGATTATTTGAGGCGGCATTCCTTTGTGTAGATTCGAGTATCTGAACCGGTTTGGTTTCTAAATGCGACACGAGCATTAAAAACTCATGTTTTAAAGTGGGGAAAAATTAAAATTTGTGAAGAGCACAAGAGAATTTAAATAAATCCATTATCAAAACAAACACTCAGGATTAAGACTCTTCGCGTAGCCTCAGAGGGAACGCAGCATTGTCGTGACACTCGTACATACACGGCACTAATAAGAGAGTCGATGCACGGAGGAGAAAAGCTCCAGACGTGGACGTTATTGAAAAAGCCTCCTTGAATTACACGTAATAAATTAAACAGACAGAACACGTTCCTTATCCTTTCTGTCAAGGATATTTATTATTTACTCCACATTTCAAACGTTGCAGACAGACCAGTTCATGACATCTGACTTTTTACTTTCATGTCTCCTCGTAGCTTTACTTTCTGAAAACTGGTTTAAGGTTTTAAATGTCCAGTTTATGAAGTTGACTTAAAACTGGACACTTTAAGATCCACTTTACAGAACAGCTTCCACCTTAACTGATGGTGGATTTATAAACAAAAGCTACTCTGGATGGTTAAAGTACTGTTCTGAAATATTACTAGTGAAAACTTATTAAACGTTAAAACTAAAATAGGTTAAAAAAAATGGAAGCACAGCTGGTCCAACAATTAAAACTCAGTTTTAGATGTTGAACTGTTGCAAAAGCAGAAAGCTGTGATTGTTCTCCTCTTCATCACATCAGTTTCATATTGGTAGTTTTTTAATTGTAAAGTTACTTAATAAAAAGGAGCATGTTCTAATATTTAAGAAGGTAAATGTGTGTAAAATGCATTGCATGTGCTTTTAAGGAGGCAGTCAGTCACTCTGAACAGAAGAGTTATTATTCATTCACTTTGCATTGTTATGGAATAAAAATAAATATATTGGATAAAGTTTTGGTGTTTACATCTTTTTAGTAATTTATCCGTTATAAATTCTCACATCGTGGAAGTCAGTGATCAATTATGTCTCATCTTGAAAAAAATTACAGCCTTTAACAGATTAATTTTTCATTTTATGTGTAATTGTAAACATTAAAAGTGTTCAAAGCTAAATTTACTGGTGAATGATTTCTGTTTTTTTTTAATGCCAGAAGTTTTCAAGTTACAGTATGTGCCTCCACGTTTTGACTGAAGAATGAAAATATAAAAATATTCACCAAAAGAATCGCTCAAATGTCTGCGAGGCCATTAAAGAACTCAAAAATAAGTTATGAGCTAAAACACCCTTTTTTTTTTTTTTTACTTGGTTGAAATTAACGACATAAATCCGTTGATTTTAGAACAACTTTTTCGTTAAATTACACGTACGAGTGACGAGCTTGACCCCACATGATCTGCTGTAAAATCTGTACCAATTCTTTTAAATAAATGCAATTAGTACTTTACCTTAAGGTAAGTTTGCAGTTTGGAGCATTTCCTGGGTATTCACTAATTAGCTTCATATTTTTCTGTCTATCATCAGTCTGATAAGCTTGTTTAGCCCCCTGGCTACAAAACAAACCAGCCTGCTGACACTGTTCGCTTGTTTGATTTGTGATACATATGTTTTGACCTGGGGTAAAAAAATAAATATTTTTTTAAACTGTTAAGTGAGAAGGAATTTTTCTCCTCAGGTCTGTCGGTCCAGATGGACTGCACCCAACTTCTTAACGACACTAACGAGGCTGTCAGGGCTTCCCAGCTACCTAAACGAGCTCCGTCGCTGCTTTTTCTTCATCCGACTGCAGAAAACTGAATTTCCAATCAGACCTGCTGACAAAGAAAACCTAGTTGGAATGTAAATCACTCAATTAATTGAATTCGGTTAAATTTAACATCTATCTGACCATCAGAAACTCTGGTGCAATAAGTTTCATTTAGGCTGACGGCGCCTGGACCTGTGACTCTATCCATTCCAAAGAGTCGACTAGAAAAATCAAGAAAAGCGCCCAGAGAGCACTGTGAGAACAATTAGTCAGCGCCATGGATGCACGCTGTTATCAAGCTGCTGTTGAGTGCCGTCAAGCTGAGCATCATGGGGGGGGATGAAAGGAATATTTTAAAGTGGCACGCCAGAGCAATGTTCTCCGATTGTTTCTCTGTGGAGATCTGGCAGGAGAAGTTCGACAATTTTATCTCTCTCAGATTTTATCTCTTTCTTCACTGAATGAATTTCATACCACAAGAGTGAGTTTCATAACAAAAGGCACAATCTTTTACCTGATTCCTCAACTGCTAAAACAAGAGATTTTTGTCTGTGATGGCTCTGGTCAAACAAAAACCCACAGAAGGGCCTTTATGAGTACAAATGAACTTCATGTAGCTTTTACAGCTTAAAATGGAACCAAGTTTCTTGCTTACTTCAGTGAACCACCCTTTAGATATTTTTGTTTGACAACAAAAAAAAAAAAGAAATGTTTGCGTGCAACGCTGACCTTTGTATGGAGCCGGAGAGAAGAAGCCTTCTGAGGCAGAGCTGGATAGATGAGCCACAACGTTCTCCAGAAGGTCAGACAGCACTGTAGAGAAAATAACACATAACAAAATATTATAAACTACTCTAAATGATATCAGTTGAAAATAATGTTTTTATTTAAAATAGTATATTTTTTTTAGGCTGAGACGAATAAAACATCAACTTTGAGTCTTGTTCGTGCAAAAATTGTGCAGCGTTTCCACCAATAGGAGCAAAGCGGAGATTGTGCATCTGCCTAGTTCATAGAGCAACACAGAGTAACGCACGCCTCCACGACACTGTCTGTGATCTGCATTTCTTCAAGGAGTGCAGGGCTTTTAATATAAATAGATACATATTTCTCCTTTTCTTCGTCTCCACATTTTAACCTGCTCGCATCTGCATTTAACGTCACAAAAAAATAACAAATATTTTCAACTTGGCCAAAGATTTTCTCAAAGCTTGCTTTTGTCTGCACCACTCAGTTTCATATCAGTTAGTACTTTAGCACACAATCCAAGTTTGACTTTGGCAGTATCAGAATAAAGCAAGACAAACCCAGACAAAAACAATAAAGAACCCAGATTGGTTTAAATTCGTAGGGCACACGTTAAAAGTGGGTGTTGTCGTTTCTGAAAAGCTTCATTTGGCGTGTCCAAATGGATCCACCCAAGCTGAAGGTTCAAGAAACCCCACCTTGGAACAGCCTTTTCTTAAATGTCTGTTTTTTCATCAAAAACTCAGATTGTGTGTGAACAAAGAGCGCAAATGCAGCAGAAAATCTATGTACTCTAAAATACCCAGAGTAGTGCAGATGGATATTTAAACAGATTCACGGTTTAACAAAAGGTGTCCGATTCTTAAAAACCTGCAGTTTGATGAAAACAGGATGAAATATTTACATTCTGACCTTCCATCAGGTCAAAGTGCACACTGAGAGGTCATTCATTCAGGATACGATCCAAGAACCCAGTTTCTTCAAATATGAAGAAAAACATATTGTTTAAATCTATCATTACAAATTAGTGTATTACATGTTTGTTTTGACTTCATGTGTTAATTGTACAGTTCGATAATAGATTTTTTTGTGTGTTTGCTTTTGACTAAACTTATATGGAAGGAATGAATTGTGTCGTCATCTCTTACAGTCCGTACCTGTGTGTTTAAAAACATCTACACCGTATTGACTCAAAAATCCATTTTAAATGAGATTATTTATGCGAGTAGTGCTTCTCTACGTGACCTCTTTAGATCTGGAGCGCTCTGTCACAGATCATTTTTCTCTTTCTCCCTCTCATGTATGTGCCCGCTGTGTTTGTGGTAGAAAAATCAAACTTTGAATAAACCAGAACAACTGCAATCTGAAACAAAGAGTACAAATTGCTCACACCTGCTAAACTGAATGGGCATGTTTGAGCAGGCATGTTATTAGTGCTTTTTTGGCTTTATGAATCGGGCCCCGACACAGAGCTAATAGAGCAGATGTGCACCAAGTGAAATATTTGGAGCTAAAATGCAGGCGCAGTTCACTCTAAGAGAATCAGGCTTGTTGTTTTGTATTCTAAGAAGCAGCTGTAAGGACAATTTCTGTAAGTCAAACAGGGAGCTGAGCTATCATAGTATTAATGGCTCCTGAAAAAATGCAAATAAAACACATTGAGAATATGTACAGTTTAACAATGTAGCATTTCATTACAGAGCATGTTCAGCATTGTGTGTGCAGTCAGTTTTGCAAGCATCCACTTATCAATTTGCAGCTTCAGTGCCCTCAGCTGTCCCTGAGTAAACCCTGTCTGCTTTGCTATTACAGTCATATATCACAAAGCTGCATAACAAAACCACCCACAGTTACTGAAGATCTGACAAAATCAGACGAGACGTGTTGATGGGGCTTCTACAGACTGCCACACCAGCCTCACACAGAACAGCAGCTCGGGAGCAGAACTCAGCTGGCAGAAAAACGATAATGCTCTAACCTGCTGATCAGGTCAGAACCAGAGACGTCTACTGATGGACCATTTGTCTCCGGCGTCGCTCGCCGTCGGGAATATTAGCCAGCAGGATCTGCTTTATGCAAACTGCCAAATTGTGTTTTTGGAACCAGAGCAAGCAACACAAGGCATGGAGTCCTGCCAACTCACACATAATCATGGTGTCACGTGAGCTTTATTTTGAAATAACTAGATAAATAAATGAATAAATTAACAAATGAACAAGTTAAATTAATATCTGAACATGAAGCAACAAGATAAGAAGTCCAAAGAAAACATCTGAAAAACATTATCTCTGTTTCTTATTATTTCTATATTTTTTAAAAAGACAGTGTCCTGTTTGTTTACATGGAGGGGGCAGAACTTAAAATTGTACTGGATCCAGCCGTCACAGACGCTGGTTCTGTTTCAGGTTCTGGGTGGAAGTCTACTTGATTTCATCTTATCCAGGGTGTCCCCTGCCTCTCGCACAGTGATGGATGGACATGGGAACCAGCGACCCAAAATGGAAAAGGTGGGTAAAAGATGATGGATGGATGGATGGATGGATGGATGGCTGACTGACTGGCTGGCTAGACGGATGGATGGATGGATGGATGGATGAATGGTTGGCTGGATGGCTGAATGGCTGGCTGGGTGGGTGGCTGGCTGGCTGGCTGGCTGGCTGGCTGGATGGATGGATGGATGGATGGATGGATGGATGGATGGCTGGCTGG